ACTCTAGTACCACCCCATGAAATTGTAACATGCTTCCACTATGCTTTTCATGCCAGCCATGACAACATAAACCCCCTTTCTCTTAAAAGAAGCTGGAAGTGATGAAAAAAAAAACCTACTATGAAGCCAGAAAGCTTGACCTTTACCATGTGGGGTTTACTCCACATAAACACATACTTTCAAATGAGCTTGCCATCCCAATTTCTTGGCCCAGTGCGTATAGTGATCTCTAGCAAGTGTTATGTCCTGATACGGAATACACCTGGTAAGCCACGCGGAAGTAAGTCAATGTTTCCGCACGGAAATGCCAACGACTTGTACTAAAGGGACTTGGCTTCAACTTGTGTGTTGTGCCCTACAGAGTCGTAGGTTGTCCCTACTTCAGAGTTCAAGAGAAAGATATAAAGATGGAGCCGGACAGGAATGAAACCCGAGCGGAGAAACAGACAAGAGGAGAGTTAACAGATAATACGTGATTCGATTTCTGACTGAGTAAAAGTAGATTCAATGAGCATATTTAAATATAATTAACCGAGCGGAAAAATAATGGATAAAAAGATAATCAAAGATGAATCATAAAAACATGATTGGCGTATGATGATGTGATGATACACTATGCGGAGCCGATGGGAAAATAACGTAAATAATGAAGGGTCAAGTACATCAGCTGAGTCACAAGCGAGAAAGGAGCACATGGAGCAAAGATAAAACAGATAAGAAAAGATAAGAGAAATCCGGTCAGAAAACAAAAGATGAGTCAACAAGAAAGTAAAGTGAGCATGAAGGCCACACGGAAAAAGTCTGAATGAACAAATACAAAATGAATGAGTCAAATGCATAGAACATGAATAATAGAAAATATAGAAATATGAGCTGGTCGGATCAATACTTGACAGCAAGGCATACCACCCTATCGAGCTAGCACTATATATGACTGGGCAAAGATAGCTAGGCAATTAGCTGCCTGTGCCAACTTTCCTGATGTATGAAAGCTATAGTTGCCTTTATAATGTTTGCCAACTTTACTGATGCTGTTGTCATCAGTCATGTTGTTGACATTGTAGTACAGTTGCCACCGCCATAACATGCCCCGGAGGATCTATTGTTCAAAACGCTCGATGCTGTGACTTAGTTCCAGTTTGAAAGACTTGCAAGCAAATATCACTGCTGGTGATGTCTGCAACAGACTGGTCAGTTGGCGCTCAGTATATATTGTAGTGGTAATTACTGAAGCTGTCTTTAACAGGCACGATCAACTCTCTGCCTAGCCTTCATGATGCTATGGGTTTCTCAAACACTGTGAACATGAGTGGTGGTGCCGATGGATCTGTCCTAACGTTCCACACTATCGAAATGGGATATGCAGCGAACATGAGATTGGACCTGCTCATTTCAAATTTACAATCATTCGTAGACAGACACAATATTTCAACCGGTGATTTGTGAGTCACGGAATTTTACTATATTTACCTCACCATATACCTTCAAAGAAATGAAAATAGAGGATGGCTAAACATGGCAAATGGTGACATTTTCCAAGCCATAATAGCAAATTTTAGATTATGAGGTGCCCCTACAGTCCTCCACAAAGTCAAAAGCCACAGTGGAGACAGGGAACGATGGCGCTGATGCTGAGGCTGGGTGAGGAGCTGAGAGCGACCTCATACCAATCTTGAACACCACCTTTCCTCCTGAGGTGCAAATAATAGGATTAAATCTTAAACATGCTACACAAGCATCCCTAACAAAAGCTCTTGTCTCCAAAAAAACAGACAGAGCAACGCCCTAGCACAGACATAATGTTGGAACGAGTCAAAACGGCTGTGAGAGTCTGGACAAGTAAAGCACCAACTGATAAAAAGATATGGCTATCCATCCAGAAAAAAAATATCAGCTGTGGCGCCCAAAACTTTCTTTGGAGATGCCTCCATGACTCTTACCGTCTGGGGAAAAAGTGGTTCCATCTTGAAGGCTATGAAGAGCATGCTTCATGCCATGAATGTAATGAACTAGACTCCCTGGACCATATCTTGACTGTGTGCAAGACCCCAGGACAGGAGTTAATATGGAAGTTGACTGAAACCCTATGGAATAGAACTGGTAAACCATGGCCAGACATATCCCTAGGAGTCATACTGGGCTGTGGTCTCTCAAATCATATTGTAAATAATGAACTTCCGGATACAGGCCTAAATAGGCTCTTCCTCATCATTGTATCAGAAGCTGCATGCCTCATTTGGAAAATATGCTGTGAATGGAAAATAAAACATGAAGGACGACTTGATAAGTGCCCTACTGCAATAGAAGTCGCCAATAAATGGAGATCCACCATGAGCAAGCGGATACAATTTGAAATCATTGCGTCAAACTCTGGAAGATTTAAAAACAAGGCCATTCCCTTTAAAATGGTAAAGAAAACATGGGGCAAACTGCTTAGTACTGAGAACTTGCAGGGTTTAAGGATGCGAGACATCACTGGGTTTTTAGTGGGTATTGGGCTGGACGATCCTCCCTGAGTCCCACACTCCTGGCATTTTGCCAGCATGCATAAACACATTTTCCCGGCGGAGCCAAAAAGTATGCCTCTCCTATATGAATCATTCTATGCCTATCCTCCTGCTGGTCTATCCAGACAAATTTTCGCGAAATTGAATAAGACGGCTACGCTGTCAAAACCAATTTATTTCAAAGATAACGCTCCACAAAAAAAAAAAACCATTCTAGTCTTCACTTTGCTGCTGCCTATGCTCTGACCACTTGTTCGGGTGCCCCTGGTCTTTCTTTCTTCTATGGCTGGCTGCCTCCAATGGCAACAGCTCCTGATAACACCATTCCCTTGGCTAGTAGTAGGAAACTAGAATTCAAACTTCGAAAATCAGTGTGACCTGACTTTGTTTTAGATCCGATTAATCAAACTCTGGCACGGTTTGTGGGCTTCGCTCTGGCTGAGATAGTGGCTCTCCTAGCTGCACACTCCATTGCATCCAGTAGTCTAAGTAATACTCTTAATGTTGTGTAAGTCATATATCCTAGCTGTACAAATGTTTTAAATTCTTTCACCTCATATACTCTTCTTTAGCCGATCCATGGACTCTACACCATTAGTCTTTAATAATCAATTCTTCAAAGAAGTACTTCTCCCCGATACTTTTCCCAATAAGTATGTTTTATATTTTCATAACGGATTAGTGTTGAAAGAGATATAGAAGGAGATTGTAAACTCTGATGAGAGCTCAGACACAGACACAGACACAGACACAGATATGAGGTGATGGTACACACTTGAGTCACAGGGCCTGGGAAAGTATGTACATGATGGGATCAGTGGGTCCATAGGGGTACACACAACTAATCTATGACTCCATAAGGGATACTAGAAGTCCAGAATAATGTGTATAAATGATGTAGATAGTACCTGAGCCATAATATCCAACAATTAGATTAACTTATCCTTTTTCACAGCTCCGTCGACCCGAACCAAATGGTGACGTCGCCTTTCTCGTGGGTGATACACCTTAAGTCGGACGCGGCGTTTGCTGCAGCCCCGCAAACATCAGCTGTATGACAGGGGTTCATCAGTAACCCTTCATCTTTAATTCCTGCATTTAGTCAAGCTATGTTCAAGATGTCCCTCATCGGTTATCAGTCCTCAAACCCAGTCGACTGTTCGGATCTTATGTCCATTCGAACAGTGATCTCATAGCTGTCCTCGGTGACATCGAAGAAGAATCCGACGAAGTACAAGGGATCGCCGTAGTGTCGCACAAGCTCACTGACATGATATTTCTCCGCTATGGGTAGAATTACACCTGGGACTCTGAGTTCGATCTGGACGCTATCATCCAAAATACCGACATCCTCTCCCACAAAACACTTGGCATCCTCTCCGAGCTGCAAACCGTCGTGGACCCTATCCTCGAACCCGGAATGTCCTGCTTCATCACCCTCTTACTCAAACAATTCCCACTATCACGCGTTCTGCGATATTGAATCTATAGGCGAGAAACGACGACGGAACGGATGGGATAAAGTCTCATTTCGAGTGCGGCCTAGTGTCCCTGGTGCGGACCCTATATACGCATTCATCCACCTTAATTCCACGGACGACCTGAACCTGCGGGAAAAAAAAATCAGTGGATCATGTTCGTCACTAAACTCTTCATCGTCACGCCCCTGTGGCCACTGGCGCATCCCCTTCGAGGACATCCGGCGTGGGATTCCCTGCAACATCGCGGTGCAGCTATCCGGGCCCATGCCTGCCACCTTGGATCCCACTAATGACGACACCATTCAATTCCTCTCCAAATCCAATCGCATCGTCGCCAGGTTAGTTCAGGAGGATCCAAAGTGGCAGATCGCCCTGAATGGGTTGTTCGTTGATCTATAGCCTGAGACTTTCGAGCAAGTGAGAGGATAAGGAAGCCGAGGAATTCGACTCTCAGTCATTTTCCCAGGAAAGATGTCTCAAAAACAAATGGAAGTAATAATCCTAGGGAAGTACCGTCAACGCTTGGTCAACACGGAAGACAAGTACAACATATTTACTTAATGTTGACGGTCTTGCAAATATTGAGGGGAGATCCTTCAAGGATGTCAAATAGGAAGGTTTGTAACGTCGCAATGAGTCACTCCAATGGATACAACACGTGAACGGTGGAGGATGGCATCCGTGGCTGCCGAAACGACAACTGTGCCAAATACGTCCAAACATTAAATATGCCCTCCTAACTCTAAACCTAGCCAACCGTATCTACTCAGCAGTATAACGGTAAATAATTGGTAATATTTAATTTAATTTTCAGACAATGGATGGATACTGGGTTGAGGAAATATTTGATTTTTTTAAGAAATATTTAGAAGACATAATGATCTTACGCTAGTCGGTATCATTGGCGCCGCAAGTGACGTGCTCAAAGTCAATGAAACACAAACTCAAAAAGAAAATAGAATAAGAATTGATCGATACCTCTTTTCACGCGGAAAAATAAATAAATAAAAATTACACACGCCGGGAATCGAACTCGAGCCGCTTGCTAAATCATAAGCATAGAAACTCAATGGAAGGCAAGCATGATACCATTTCACCACACGTATCGCCAAGCCTATGTGTCACCTGCTCTTATCCTTCCTTGTGAGCACTCCGCATTTTCCTTGCCAATTTCTTCTTCCGAGTCGGAGCGAGGCTGATGATGCAGATGTCTGAGAGCGAGTCAGTGAACTACGGGCCAACTCAAGGAGGACGCACTTCGATTGAATAAGTCGACTCGATGTTCTCTTCTGTCTCCTTTCGCCAATGCGCCTCTCCATCTGTTTCTGCAGTTGTTACGTTGCTAATGACGTTGGAAAATAGTGAGAAACACCTATCAGAGGGAATATCATCACATCATATTCAGATCCAACGAAGACGATGGAAGATCAAAGGGACATACGATGGAAAAGAAAGTCTTCCTCAAAAATACTTGTGCAGCAATGGTAATGGCCATTAATATACCCTGTGCGAGGAATGATCGCTCGGACGTGGATGTCTTCAGAATTGCTCGATGTACAGGCCAACAACTGTGAAATCGTTAAGGTCAGAAACATATTTTCGCCAATGAGAGAAGAAAGAAATGAGGGGCATACTTACAGAGATATTGGATAGCAATTGGGACTAGCGTAAAACGAGAAACATCAGTAACAAACTGTAATGTGGTTTTTATAGGATACTGACGTAAAGCCCGCCCCCAGGCCTCTTTCTCTCATCCGGTTGGTCGAGTACCCAGGTTACACACGTCAATCCAATTTCCATAATCCTTAACGTTCATAAGCTCACATAATTCCAGGCAAATAGAACAAAGCAAACTTCAATGCAATGCAGCCAACCCATTTATACGTGGAGATAATACACTGTCTGTAGGCGAGACGCGGCAAGGGTAGCAAGGAGTGATGGCTGATAAATAGGAAGGATGACACCGAATTGGCTTATGGATGGATGGAGAAATCTATGCGCATCTCAGTGGTACGGAATTGCTACTCACATCAGGCATCATAAAAGGCCTGTCTGGGCGTTTGTCCAAGGAACGACTCCTGCACAAGTTAATCCCTGCGTGCCTAAATCAAAGATTAAATCCTGCCCAGAAACATTGCAAATGAATGAATGACACGCCTCGTACTCGTCCAGATTGAAAAGAAAAAGAACAAGCTCGGACAGTCTTAATTGATCCAAATCCAGCGCTCAGCTCAAATATTCGTAACAGCGAGGCGAATAAAAAAAGACGTCTTTGGCGGAGGTAGTGAGGCCTGATGATAGGGAGGAAGAGGAGGAAAAATCGTAAAAAGTAGACACTAATAGACGTCAACGAATAGAGCGAAAGGTTCTCATACCATGCCAACCCTGGAAAATTCCACGCTAATTACTCCAGAAAAAGGATCTGATTGAGAAGACGAATAATAATATGAGGAAGGAAGGAATGAGATGATGGAGCTCGTAAGATCCAAGGAAGGAAGGATTGCGAATATAATATTGATAGCAAGGAATGACAATAACGGCGGTATGATATACCCGGGATTGGAGTAGGAGCGGAAGTCCAGGATAATAAGTATCTGAAATAGTAACGGAATGAGATAAACAGCGTGACCGTGATATATTACAAATAAATAAAGATCGATCTGACGTACTTTACTTGACCTCACTACTAAATGTTACTCAATGACCCACGAAGCCGACGGGAAAGAAGTTAATCATGCGACGATATTGATAATGCCGGACTAAGTATCCAATCCACTAAGTGACGACGAAAGCAAGTTTCAGCACCATCTTAGTTATGTAAGAAGTGCTTGACGAGACGAGACACGGAAAGAGAAAGGGAGACGCACGTCGTTGTTCTCCCAGCCAGATGAAGTCCTTCGGTGCGACCTGGAGCCATTTGCAGGCCATCTACGAAGCGAAAATAACCATTATTATGAGTCCAATTGATAAGATAAAAAATAAAAATATCATTACCTCATGATGTGAAACACATCGTGCCAAAACGTGTGCTCCGATCATCTGCAAGTTGCATTGAATAAATGAGCTGTCCTATATCCGCAAATCTCGTTTATTGCATATTTTCTTGGGTATACTGGTTACCAAGACAGTATGTGACTGAGGAAGGTGGGAATACGATGGGCTTGTTAGATATGTCTGACGGAGTTCCGTGTAGATTATGTATTCGCGGCGAAGGAGATACAGGACCCAATCTATGAAAGTTCGAGAAATGTTTAGTATAATGTGGATTGAGACGATAGAGACGGACATACAAGTTAGAAGAGAAGTTAACTATAATGACATGCGCGATATATCGATCCAAGGCGACTTCTGTAATACCGATGAATATTAATACTTTTGTAACGATAGAGATATGAACTGCGACATACTTCCCCTACTTAGATCAATTTATTTAGTCCATCGATACTATTGTTTTTTATCTCGGTAGAGTTGACTGGTGACAATGGTGAACGAGGAAAATAGTCTCATCTTCAACCATAGAAAGCGGATAAGCATGTACGCGTCTGGACTCCGGATCTACAGTGGGCATTAAAATCGAGGCAACGATCGACCGTGATGAACGGGTGTGGCTGGAGATGAATACAACGAAAGAAGAAATCGGTGAACCATTTTATCGAACAACTAATGTGGACGTATAGCATCCTCAGGAGGGGCTCCAAGTGGTGCTGCCGCACTTTGTTGAAGCTTGTGAACGATTTGCGGCGTTTCTACGTATCACGAAGAACCATCAACGTTTGGTGTCCGTTGCGAACCTGCAGAGAGGCAGAGAAGGCTCCACTTCACGATGGTCGAATGCCGGTGATCAATAGGGTCAGCCCACATGCTTAGGCTACGAGTACGAGCGTAAGATCTGAAAAAGAATGCGTCATTAGAAGACATTTCCAAGTGTTATGCCCAGAACAGCTGTGTAGGTTTCGATAAGTAGGAGCTCTCGGAGAAGGCGCGAATAAAGAAAGCAGGTTGGAGACGGCATTTATGATCCGGGCTTTGACTCCATGAGACGTCGTTGATCGTGATATTGGCATCATCTATGAACATGACCTTTTAGCAACGTGATCTAACAAAAGGAAGAAATAGTGTCCGACGATGACTGTTAGCCGACGAAATGAATACGTACTTGGATGTAATTAAGATATGTGACAAAGTGGAATATATTTACTGAAATAACAAACCCTGAGTTGTTTGTATAGGGTCGACCCCGGAGACGAGAGGGAGGTATGAGAGTTAGACGGATCGACAAATTGCCTCCGAGCGCCTGTCACGCCTGCCCTCGCATCGCCCTCTCTGATTCAGACTGTTACGTTCGATCGAAGCTGCTCCTATGACGACGTTGGAGCCTAAAACGGTTGAGAGAATGGAGCAAGTCTCGGATGAGTGGAATCACGTCCGTTGCGCTTTCGACACGAGTGACGGGGCGTGGCTGTGCTAGTGACGTCATCACAGCGGCACTGTGCGCTCTTCTATCTTCCTGTCCTCACTGCCTCAGCACGTCCGTTCAGCGAGACTAAATCTCTTGTCCTATCCATATATACGCAATGCCAATCCACCTAGCGGCCTCCATTTAGTCGCGCAATCGCGGTCGCAACCGGGTTATAATGTCAAGGTGCAACGGTCCACTCAAGGTGTGTTTACGACACGGTTTCCTTATCCTTCATTCAGTCCCTGGTCATCTCAGTTCCGCATAAAATTGCTGGCCCATTGTTGACGCTTCTGCCTCCAATACGCTCGTTGTTCCCACCATTTCCATCATAGGCACGCCGTCGCCTGCGCATCCCCAACCCACGTAGGCAACATCTTCTACCCGTTAGGAAATATTGATATGGCTTATTGTCCGAGAAACAGCGGTACTGAGCTCTACTGTCCTTCTTTTGCCTCGGTGCTCAAAATATGCTTTTTGCTCTATAGTCTCGAAAACAACATTATAAATTGGATCAACGATTCGTAATACGATCTGATAAACCTGTTATATATAATGACGGATGTTATGAGTATAAGAACAGGAACCACATTCAATCAAGCACTCGAACACATTATATTCTCCACCCCGGCTCACCGTCTGCCCACGTCTGCAGATCTGCCTCATTGGATTTATGCGTTCTATTAAGGAAATAACACGTGTTATTTTTGCCTGAGGTTACAGAGGATGAGCCAGCTCGACGACATCATATTGCTCTATTCAATTGCTTTGCAGACACACTGGTTGCTCAAACCTTCAAAGTCAGATCCACCTCGCTCACTTTGTTATTCTTAAAGGTTCACCAAGCCCGATTTCCTTATCTTGTAGATGATTATAGATCTGTAATACATCCTGCACTTCTACTCCTCCCACCATTGTGCCGATAATCCTTCACTTCCGTCGTTGATCCTCCTGCTTACAGACTCACAATGGAGCAGAACCCGGAATCATCTACCATCAATTGTTCTTCGCCTTTCGTCAAATTTCGTCACAGGACCGTTTATATATTTAATCGAATGGAGGCTCAACCTCGCAATTAAATCGCTTCTCTCGTAATATCCGAAAGCCCAGTAGTCAATTCACCGAACATGCTTAAGATAATGGGCCTCTTCCCAACCGAATAAACTAATGCTTGATTAATAGACTTCAGGATTACTGTGCTTGGCATTTACATATATTATATACCAAAGTCAGCCGGATTCTGTCTGAGACCTAGTGACTGCATGTACAGCCGAATTCCGCTTTCGAGGCTCCTGCTGCTCTACGTCATCGGACTTGTACACTCGGGCATGAGGAATACACACTTAGATTCAAGGATTGAAAAAGAAATACTTATCCGTTGATATTATATTAAATTCTACTTCGAAACTTCTCTTGACGGAGGTAAGCTGCTCATAGTTTATTCTAAATCTGAATTAATAAAGTCCTATATACATCTGAATTCCTTTCGTCGAAGCTAATGCGCCACACTTGACTCTGATGCGAGGAAACACTTATAAGTACTCAAGATACATATTAGTTTATGTTATCTGTTGATAGTGTCCAACTCTACTCTGAAACCTCTCATGACGGAGGTGAGCTGTCCCATAATTAGAGAGTTTGTGCAAAAGC